CATGTCATACACACCTGAATCAACATGATGCATATCCACTATAATACCATCCTCTTCCAGGTCAGAATCTCTCTGTTGCATCAAACTTATCCTTGGTGTATTTGGATCAATTCTACAGAGAGTAGACTGAACATTAATATTGCAATATAATTAATTATCTCCTTCACTGGGCAAACATAATATAACCAGGGAGCCATGAGTCTTGTTTTACTGTCTGCAGTTCCAGTGATCGATGTAATGGTAATTGGAACAGTGGATATGATAACGGGAAACACTATCATAGGGCAAAACAAGTTTTGTGGTTCTCTTGCTCTTCTCAAGGGAAATAGTCAAAATGTTATTGTATAACCAAAGCACAGTGCTTTACACAACTGCAGGTCACTGTGAAAAAAGTTCAGAGTAATCAACAATCAATGTATTTTACACAAATTGTGTATGTACAGTAGCATGTGACCCACATTGAATACCACATGACACAATGACTTTGCTGCTTAGGAAAAACCTTTATAAAATCACTAAACCCTTGCTTGAAAAACATGTCTTACTATGTAAAACAAAATCTTTCAAACGAACTAAACACTTTTTTTAAATAGAATAGTTTAGACAGGTACTGTACTGCGTTACCAGTACATGTATATGATATATGCAATTTATATTTCTATGTGATCTGACATATTACCTTGTGTTCACTGTGACCTGTCACATTACCATGTGTTCACTGTGGTCTGACATATTACCATGTGTTCACTGTGATCTGACATATTACCATGTGTTCACTGTGATCTGACATATTACCATGTGTTCACTGTGACCTGACATATTACCATGTGTTCACTGTGACCTGACACATTACCATGTGTTCACTGTGACCTGACACATTACCATGTGTTCACTGTGACCTGACACATTACCATGTGTTCACTGTGACCTGATACATTACCATGTGTTTACTGTGACCTGTCACATTACCATGTGTTCACTGTGACCTGTCATATTACCATGTGTTCACTGTGACCTGTCATATCACCATGTGTTCACTGTGACCTGTCATATCACCATGTGTTCACTGTGACCTGACATATTACCATGTGTTCAATGTGACCTGATATATCACCATGTGTTCACTGTGATCTGACATATTACCATGTGTTCACTGTGATCTGACATATTACCATGTGTTCACTGTGACCTGACATATTACCATGTGTTCAATGTGACCTGACATATCACCATGTGTTCACTCATAATAATGTAGTAAAAAAACGTAGATGATGAGAGATACACTTACCGATACACATGAATAGATCCATCATCGGAGGCTGACGCTATAGCATGGGACGACTGACAGAAAGTTAAAGTTTTAATCTGTCCACCTTGTCTGTTATAAGTTTGACGAGATCTGTTGGCAACACTCTTACCCTCCAATCGATGGCAATCCCATATCTTAACAGTGCCATCATTGGAACATGTGGCAAAGAAATTATGGTCATGGCTGACACTGATCCTGAATACATAACAAACAGTTGAGAATCAGTGAAGAAATAACAGACACATTAAACAAATGTACTGATAAAATCTATGGAATCTATGTTACATGTCATTTAAGGATTGTAATCAGGAAATTTAAAAATTTTGTTGTTACTATAAATTCTTACAAAATGGTCCGGTGGTGTAGTTATATAAACCATAAAAGATTTATATATGCTGCATCATCAAAAAAATTACATATTTTGACCTTGACTTCTTCGGTAGTCATTTATGTGAGCACATGTGCTTCTAACAGAACAAATTAATACAGTAACAATGGGACTTTAATGGTAGATAATAAAAAACAGTCCATAGTCACTGCATAAACCAAGTGACATAATTACAAAAGTTCATATTTATAACTTTGAAAAGCAATTTTTGCTCCAACATTCAGAAGAAATCAAAACTTATTTACCTATTGACAGCGGCTTTATGTTCATGTAAATGAGCTACTAATAATCCTTTGGGTTTCCATCCCGGAGGAGGTGGTTTGTTTTCGAAAACAGAGCCTTCTATCAACGACTTTGTTGCCATATCATGGATATATTGTTCTCTCTTTCTGTGCACCAGTCTGCGCAGTTCAAGCTTACATCCAGCAAGCCGAGCTGCAACCAACAAACATAGTGTCAACAATCTTTGCTGAAAATTATTTTGTATTTATTATTATAATATAATCGATGCAAACCTATAAAGATTGTGCCTGATTGGCTACCCAACCTTGGCACCTAACAGTAAGACCAATCAGAGAACAGCTTATTTGTGCAAAGCAATAGAGATTGTGCCTGATTGGCTACCCAACCTTGACACCTAACAGTAAGACCAATCAGAGAACAGCTTATTTGTGCAAAGCTATAAAGATTGTACCTGATTGGCTACCCAATTATGACATCTAACAGTAAGACCAATCAGAGAACAGCTTATTTGTGCAAAGCAATAGAGATTGTGCCTGATTGGCTACCTAACCTTGACACCTAACAGTAAGACCAATCAGAGAACAGCTTATTTGTGCAAAGCTATAAAGATTGTACCTGATTGGCTACCCAACCTTGCCACCTAACAATAAGACCAATCAGAGAACAGCTTGATAGGTTTTTTTTGATGAATCAAATTCTGCTTTGTGGTGTATATGCTAAAAAAGCACTGTTATTCACATCATGTCATTTGCAGCATTGACCCTAGTGATATTTTATTTGTGGTGTGACCATAGTGTAAAGTAACAAACCTTGTGGTATTGCTGGAGCTCGCTGTTCAAATTGTTTCTTCTGCGGCAAGCCAGATTCACTGGCTTGTAACTGAGACATGCTTATTGGTGTATCAGGTGATAAAGTCTTAGCTAATGACCGCTGTGTCTGCTTCTCCTGTTGCTGCTGACTTGGTGCTACCTGCGTCTGTGTGGTGGTTGGCCCCAGTGATGGTAATGTGGCCTGTTCTGGCCCAGACTTGGTTTGAGATGATGGTTGTGTGGGTTTCGTCAGCTCTCCTGTTCCTCCGAACATACTCTTCCATTCCTCGTTCTGAGCCAAAATTAATAATCATATTGGTGACAAAGGAAAAATGAGATTGATGGTTCTGAACTGAAATTATTTTTGTTTGGCTCATTCAGCATTACAGTACTTTCACATTATTCCTAAACAGTGCTATAACTATAAAGTACAATGTATAGTTAGCCTTACTGAAGTGAATTAAAGGAAAAGTCAAGTCTAACGGCATAAAAAGATGATGAAAGAGCTTGGCAAATGTAAGAACATGCAATTTACAGCTTTTTTATATTACTTTTTATTTTCTAGATATTTAACTTTTCACTAATTTATGTAGTCCACCATCTTGATTCTCCAGCAAAGGATTGTGGGTAAAGTGTGACATCATGACAAGGAAGATGGCGGACCACATAATACTCACAAAAAGTTAAATATCTAGAGAATGAAAAGTGATATAAAAAAACTGTAAATTGCATTCTCCTACATTTGTGGAGGTGTTTCTTATGGGAGCATTATTTTGTTTGGCTCGACTTCCCCTTTACATCAGTCAATGTATGTATGTATGTCCACAATTTTTAGACAACGGAGATTAAAACATATGATGACACATCCTATTGGCCCATTTTTACATTATGGTTCAAACAGAGATTAAAACATACCATGACACTTTCCATGTTACTTTTCTTCTTCCCAGTCTTCTTTCCAGACGCTTGACTGACAGTCTCTGATTTGGAGTCCTTAGGTTTGATCATATCTGCATGTCTCCGGGTGATATTCCTCCCTAACCTACTAAAGTTTATCACTCCCGGCTGTATGGCAATGTCGTCATCAGGTGACCTCAAGTCATTGTTAGTACTGTAGAAATAATAGGCAAAGCAACAATAACTTGATCTAAAATGGCATCTTATTACGGTACTAGTTGCAAAATAAAATTTACTGCATACTAGTAAATATAGCAGTATATTACAATACTCACTTGGATTTAGCTCGATGAACTTTCAACATATGTTCTTTGAGAAGTAGCAACTTGTCCTCATCGATTTCTGTCATACCTTGCGATTTCAACTTTCGGAATAACTGTGAAATGAGAAAAATACACATCAGCTACAAAACGTCATGATATTGATGAGATATAAACTACGTTGCTGTCTTGT